GCCCAGGGAGGTGGTTGAGTCACCACCCCTGGATGTGTTTAAGGGTTGGTTGGATGTGGTGTTGGTGGATATGGTTTAGGGGAGAACTTTGTAGAGTCGGGATGATGGCTGGACTCAGTGATCCCAAGGGTCTTTTCCAATCTGAATAGTTCTGTGAAAATCAATAAAAAGCACAAGAAACAAAGCAAACCTCCCTCCCCCAATCAACCCTCAAAAACCCAAGCAAAGAAACCCCCACAAAAAAATTGAGTTAGTTCCTAAACATCCTGTTAATGTCAAGAAAGGCTCCTAACGGCTTTGTACCTTTGAGGATCTACATATTTATGACTCTATACAGGTGAGCTACCTTTGCTGTGCAGCCAAGTTACACACAGAACACAAGGCAGAGTCTTAGGCACAAAGCCACAGGCATCAGAGACAACAGCTTCATGCTCGTCCTTTTACTCAGCACTCCAGACAAAGGAAATTAGTGTCAGACACCTCTCATTAGGACAAGGTACCACCCTTTGGATAATCAATGAAAGGTTGAGTCTCTTGATCCCATTGAGGCTTTCCAATAACGTGTTATAGGGGTAAAATATGATACACCTTGCTGTGGATATTTGGAACACGATCTTTGGTAATCCAAGCCCAGCTTTTAGGTACCAAGCAACAAGCAGCAGCGTGCCATATACATCTGAGCTTGAACATGCACTCAATATTGACTTCAAATGTAAGGATCCACCTCTACTAGGTTGTTGATGATTCTTTGGACAGTACAGTCCTTCAAATGTCTCTCCTTCAGGTGTTATCATGAATCATTAACCATGATCCATTAATCTGCTAATTTAGCTTAGACAAAAGCTTCTTCATAGACATGAATGCTAGAACTGATACTCTTTTGTGAATGGTAAGAGGCCTCTCCACTGTCATGCTTACCTGCGTGTACATTTCTTTGAATGGATTTTTAACTGAAAAGAAATCTAAGTCAATGTCTAAAACATATGCATCCCCTTTCTGCAGTACTTGGCATACATCTTTAACAACTCCCCTTATCTGGCATTCACTGTTTCTGAGGGAGCTTGAAGCTGGGCACTCTGACAATGTTTCTTCCTTGTTTGGTGCACTTGTATTTTGTACTTCCTTCTTCTTCACTCTTAAGGTGCTGTGATCAGGGTCACCAGGAGCTACTGATGCAGAGGCAAAAGCAGTGCTTGCTGTGTCATCTGTATTTAGCTTCAGTCTCTTGGTAGATGCTACTTCACCATTTTCTTCCCGGCTGTTTGATGCTTCAGTAGGACTGATGAGAATGACATGTAAATGTAAAGGCTTCTGGTTTTCTAGCTGATCAGCAGGGACATAAAGACCATCACTTAAAAAGTAATGATCTGTACCTGTAACCCTACAATTGACAATAATTCACAGTTAATACACATCTTTGAGAAGAACTCAGGATCAAGCATGTGCACTTCAGGGATCCTGAGAGGAATTACTAGATATCTGAAGGGTAACAAAAGCAATAAAACTAAGTATACAAAAGTATTTATTTTAACCCACAGGTTTTAAAACTGACGGTTTTTTATATTTCTTTACTGCTGAATAAAAATATTAAAATTCACTCTATTTTTATATGATAGCCCTACCAGGTTCTAATGCGTAAGAAAAATATTCTACATTATGTGCTACTAAGATTAATTTGCCATTGAAATGCTTTTTAAAGACAACATCCAAAATTTAACAAGATATTGTCAATATTAGAGCATATAAGACTGCAAAGGTATGGATATTTTGTCTTGAACTGCCTAATTTTTAAGAAAAATTCAGTTAGTTGTGTTTGAGAAGTGCCCTGAAAACCATGAATACTGACTTAATAAAACTAAAATACTGTGAATGAATAGGTAACATTTAATTATTTTTTTTTTCACCACCAATATAGATTCCCTGTTCTAAGTGGGGGAGAGCTGGTAAAACTCGAGGATAAATAGATGCATATCAATGGAATGCACTTTTTTTAAAAAAAAACCACAACCAAACAAAACCCAAGAATGCTAAAAACTGCTTCCGATGAAAACTTAAAGAGCGTAATTTTCAAGCCGTATTTCAGTATAATAAGTTTTAAGCATCATAAATTCAGATTAAAAAATATTTCTTTCAGAAATTCTGCAGGGTTCAACATGAGCTTCTGCTACTGCATTTCCTTACTGGGACACTAAAGTCTCTATTGCCTATCCAACCACCTGTTGTCAAAAAAAAACTTTCAGGAAGTTTTTATTTTCTGAGTACACTTTCCCTTTCTTCGTTCATGATTTCTGTAAGCCTACAACTTGAAGAAAAGATATCTGACTATCTTTAAAAGGCAGTTTGAAATGTTGTTTTCCAGGTTGCTAAGGTGACCAGAGGCTCTGTGGGAGGGCTATTCAGCCATCATGAAGTATTTCTATATGCGTGCTAATTCTCAGGGTTAAAAAGAACTGAAAGTACTAGCTTTCCTCTTATTGTTAAGGTTTATTTTAGGCCTCAGATTCAGAATTGTAGAGCTTCTGTGTTTTATTTTAGGTGGTAAAAAAAAGCATTTCTCTGCCATCTTCCATTGAATTTGCTTCAAAAGATTTATTTTGATATGCTGGCAAGAGATATGATTTTTAAACATTCATTCAAGCCGTACAAAATCCCAGTGCAGTGAATATGGTGAAAACAAAACTGTCATTGACTGCATCCAGCAAAATTATGTGGGACTTTCACCAGAACTCAAATCACTGAATGATTAAGACTGGAAGGGACATCTGGAAGTCTTTCATCAATCATCTGATCAAAGCAGAACTAACTTAAAACCTAGATAAGACTGCCCAGGGCCTCATCCAGCTGAGTTTTGACTTTGTCAAAGAATGGAGAATTTACTGCCTGTGTACTCATTTCAGTGCCTTACAACTAGATTAACTTGAAACAAAGCAAAAGCCAAAGAAAACAAACAAAAAAACACACATGAGAAAAACAGAATCACCAAGGGAAGAGAAGGAAGAGATTTCTCCTCTTATTCAGCACCAATGAGGTCACATTTGCCATATTCTGCTCAGGTCTGGGCCCCTGAACAGGATGAGGTGACAACAGTCTCAAGAAGAGCCACTAAGGTGATTAGAGGGCCAGATCACATGATGGGGGAAACTGAGGCAACTTTTTTTGTTTAGTCCTTATAAGGGAAGACTGATGAGGATCTTACTGCTGCCCTCTGTTACCTAAATCCTCTGTTAAAAAATTACTGCTTTCTAAGATTTATTTTACTTCAATTAAGAGAACTATTTTAACACTTGTGTAGCTCGAAAATAAATGTGAATAGCTAGAATTACCTATAAAAAAATATTCCAGCACAATTTTAACTGTAGCCATTCATACAGCCAGTCACACTATGTCCTAAGAACTCACAAATCCAAATGAAATTTTCATCTTTATCCAAGAATACACAAAAAAATAAATCTCACTCCTGAAAATCTATAGAAATCTTCTTTATGTTATAAGCGTATGACAACAGACAACTTACCTGATTGTAGTGGTTGATATGTCTTTCCCAATCAAAAAATAGTGTTTTCCTTCTGCGATCTGCTGAGCCTAGGGTGGGTGAAGCCATACTACTTGAGAAATATGGCCAGCATAAACAGCAGGCATAATCCAGTTCTCAATACTTAATTCACTGTAATGAATGGAGATAATACTGTTACTTTCTCAGTAAACATGATCAAGATGTGTTGATGGATATGGTTCAGGGAACAACAAACATCTTCCACATCCTGAAAGCCACCATGAAAATAATCTGAAATTAGTATTCTGTGTAAGGTTCACACTACCAAAGAAAAAACAAAAACAAAAGAAAGTACAAGGAGCACAACAGTGTTCTAAATAACTTCAAACTAACCTACTGACCTCCAGGGAGTAATTTATTGTAAACTGCTCTGAGTAGCTTCTAGATATAATCTCAGTAATTAAAGTGAGTCAATCAGCACCTACAGAATCTCCTGATCATCAACACTCTTGTTTTTTATGTGTATGATATAGCCCACACAATTTCTTATTCATCCAACATATAAAACAAAATATTGACAACGGGTAGCATGATACAATTACTTACATGCCAATTACATTATCTTATCATTGCTGTAAATCACCGTAACACTGAAGCGATCGATAATTATTTTAAAACAGGAAAAAAAAAAAAAAAAGACAGTATCAAAGATCACTTGTGGCTTATTACATAAGTTGGAGAAAAATACTGGCCACGATGATCTTAATAGAAAAATCTTGTTCAATTTCATACAGCCACTGTGTCAACACAGTAGATGTTATTTCTATCTCAAAGTCAATTTTTCAGTATTAAGAGAGAAAGGCTGTTTGAAAACCATCACTCTTCAGCCACCGAGCATCCAGTCAGGGAGCTGTAGTGTTACTGAAAAGAACTAATTGGCCTAATAACATGATACACTGCTGTAAACAGTAAATCTGTAAGCTTTAAATGGCTTGATATTCAACTTAAAATATTTTACCACATTCAAAAAACACAAATATATTTATTTCCATTTAAAAATATCTTTGGCAAAACTGAAGACAGAAAATACAACTTGGGGCTGACTTACACCTCTTTTGTTTATACCTCCTATGCAGACACACAAATATTCACTGTAAATCAAAGGCAGTAAGAAGTGGACTTGCAGTGTTCTGATACAGTGTCCAGGACTTACTTAAAAAGAGCTTCTTTGTCAAACACAGTATCTGCAGGCATATTCACAGGAATAAGAAGGTCTGGATGGGAATCAAGATGAACAAAGCTGATGTTACTGGCAGGAAGATGCTTTGAACCAATGGCACGATAGATGAAAGGCAGCACCTAAAACAACACAAATTAAAATATTTCAGTTATTAATCCACTAGTGAGCTGAAAAATGCAACAGCTTTAACAGAAAAAAACTAGTCCCACTCTTGTTCCTTTACAATTTGGATTAGAGGGAAGTGGAGACAGAAAACAATACAACGGGGAAACAACTCCAGTGGCAAGATTTCTCATAGACTGTAATCATTATGAGCCCAAGTGTTCCACATAAGAAGCTGCTGAAGAACCACAGATTTACTTTGTCTTTCTGTCTTTATAGGAAGTCTCATTTGCAGTAGTTCTCCTCACTAACCTTTTAACTCAATTGATAGTTTTTTTCATTTACAACTAAACCCTAGACATGCTGTTCCTCCTCTGCAGAGCATTGCCCCTGTGTTGCCTTGTCTATGCTATAAAGCTTCCTCACCATGAGCAGGTGCTGTGGAGATAAAAACATTTCATTACTTGTAAGTTAACTTGACATAGAGTGAAAACTGACCTCACCGTGATTTAAATTTTAGCTGATCTTTAAACCTTGAAAAAAAAGGCTTAATTCCTAATCTTTAAATTACTTAGTGACTGCAGTAGAGACTACCTTTCTCAACGGCCCAACCTTATGTTCTGCTGAAGATCGAGCTGAGAAAAACAGGAGTGAGGCAACTCATCAATTTATAGCATAGCAAACCATGGAAGTGCAATAATATAGAGCAGTATAAAAAGAAAACTGATGGCTGATTCATGATGCCACTTACATTGAACTGCAGTACATGGAGTCTGTCCCACAGCTACAGGACAAAAACTGCCAGAACAAATCCAGCAAGGACTGTGCATCACAGCCCTATCATACAAGGAATGGGAAGGCTGTAAAAAGACTGGGCATCAAAATCTACACAATGTCTACATTTTAACAGAACCTCAGCAACTTTTTTTTTTGCATAAAGCTGATTAAGATGACAAATCCTGCTGCATACTGCATGGGCACCACTGTAAAACTGGACTGAGAGCTGAAATTTGGACTGTATTCCATCTGTCCAGGAATAAATTCCTCAGTTTATCTACTACATATGCAGTAATAGTGGGAGGTGTCCTTGCCCATGCAGGGGAGTTGGAACTAGATAATCTTCCAGGTCCCTTCCAATCCAAACCATTCTACGATTCTATAATATGCATACAACTGTAACAGTAAATAAAACAAGGTTAAAACCAGCAAGGCTTCTCTGACCCATGACTTCTTAAGAAGGTAACATGACACCTACCAGAACAACCTACAATCTTTACAATCAAAATTAGAAGTTTTATCTCAGGTAAAGCATTACCACAAATGGTGAGACTAGGAGAGGGTGGGGGAAGACACAAGAGGCTAAGATCTCCAGCTCTGCAAGTTCTCCTGCTTTAGATTACGAACAAAATCTCCTTTACAACAGCTGTTTATTAAGCAATGAATGATGACGAGCTGCCCTAGACGAACATCAGTGTCAGAAAAAAAAGGTTATACAAAGTTTTGGCGAAGTTCGGTGAAGCAATTTCAGGCCACCCGGGCAGTGAACTTCACTTACGTCTCCGCAGTGAAGGAGAACGCAGGCGGGGATTGCTCCTAAGGAAGCGCCGGGAAGGCGCGTCCTGCGGGGAAGGCGCCGGCGACTGCCCGGGGGAACCACCAGCACCTTCCTCCGCTCCCACCTACC